AATTAAACATCCTATATATGCATTATTGATGACCTCCCATTATGTTACTCTTTCAAAATGTTTGTTTTGTTCAAGATACACCAAAATGGTATGGCTTCCTGATATTTTTGTGAGTAACTTAACTTCATTTGAATTTGTGTACCTGACAAATAGTATCTATTTTATTAATACAGTTTTCTGCCGGGAAAGTGAAATTAAAATTACTGAAGGAGCAGCTTCAAGGTAAACAGTTTATCACTGTATTATTAGATGCTGCAGATATAATTTATTTTCTTTTACATTTGAATTACATAGAAAATTAAAGTATTAGAATTGTTTATGCAATATAAATATTCTAAACTCCAAAATGGTGACTCTTTATCTTTGATATTCAAAATATATTTTATCTATATATTTTGGGTTGGGTGCTTATTTTATGTCAAAAAATCAGCTTAAGGTATGATTATAATAATACATTTTTGAAAAGTGAGGACTTTCATAGCGTTGTCCTTAAACTTTTATATAATCTTTTGTAAAACTTTTTTATAATCTTTTAACCAGGAAGATAATTTTAACAGTATAAAATTGTAAGTTGAAGTTTTATTCTGGGAAATTTAGAGAATATTGAAAATTGCTTTATATTTTAATAAATTATTTGAAAATAGCAAAAAAACCAAAAATAAATTTTGAATTTAGAATAATTCTAAAATAAATAAGATTTTTAAAATAGAAAGGAAACACATTTAATTTGAATAGTGAAGATAATTTGATAGAACAAGTTCTAGAAATATATGTCACATTTATTATAGAAGTTGTTCTGCGTGGGCTTCAGTTTCATCCAGAGATGGGACCGAATGTCATAGGAATGCTATCAAAAGCATAGTTTTTAACATTCTGTAGTTTTACATGTCCAGTTCAATTGGGTTTACAGCTAAATGGATGTGGGTGGCTATGTGTGGCCCTGCAGTCAGAGCGGGCGGGAGGGAGACTGTGGGCTCCTCAGCCCACTGGGGAGATTAGACTTGGCTCATGGCATTCTTACTGGGCAACTAATATTTAAATACTGTTTTGAGAATTTAGAAATGTGCATAATTTCATTACTTTATCAAGCAGAAAACTGAACATTGTTTTTTAATGTGATTGGTTTGACTTTTTTCCTTTCAGAGCCAGTGAAACAACCATTTAATTATAAAATGGAAAATTCTTCTGAAAGTGAAAAACCCAAGATAAAAGGGAAGGTTTGCGGGCAGTGTGAGAACAAAGCCGCTCTGCTGGTACGTACGCTGTGATAAGATATGGAACAGAACTTTCATGTGGTCTCACACACCTCTCGCCGCATAGCCGGCTTCAGTACCTTGTCCTCTTCCTTCCTGCCGTTCCTAAGGGGGAGGTGTGCGTGCTGCCAGGAGAGGCCCCATAATACAGGAAACCCCATCCTCTTGTTCCTGTGTGAGGACATCACCTCACTCTTGTCCTCTCTCCCTTGGATCACGCCTGTCATCGCACAAACACACTGCAGTATTTCCCAGACCAAAACTACAGCAGAAGTTGTCTTTGGTCCCCACATCTCCCTCTGTACCCCTTTTGGCAGCACTTCTAAAGAGCTTTCTACACTCGCTGTCATCGTGTTCTCTACTCCTGTTCCCTCTTTTTCAAATTGAAGTACCCTTTATTACTGTGAAATGGACCCATCTTATGTGTATACACCCCCATTAAGGTAATAGAGCACCTCAGAAGATTCCCTTGGGCCTTTTCCAATTAACCTCCATTACAAAGCTAACTGCTGTTCTGATTTTTAGCAGCATACCTTTAGTGGTGCTAAACCTAGTCCTGAACTTTATATAAATGCAATGATGTGGTATATTTATATATTGTATGTGCGTGTGAGGCTTCTTTTGTGCCACATGGAGAGTCTTCCGTGTTGTTTCATTTATCAGTAGTTTACTCACTTCTATTACTGAGTAGTGTTCCATTGTATAGCTATACCAAGATTTGTTTATTCCTTGACACGTTGAAAGACGTTTGAGTCATTTCTGTTTTTTACTATTATGTTTAAGGCTGCTGTGGACATTTATGTGCAAGTCTCTTTTTTTTTTTCTCAAATGACATTTATTCTTTTTTCTTTGAAAGTTATGAAGTAAGGTTTTTAAAAAAGCTGAAAAATAATGCTCTCCAACAGCTCTCCAACTTTTCATTCGTGCTAATTTCCTGAACTTTTAAAAAGTTTTGTGGTAGAATACATTGTAATTTTAACATTGCCATCATAGCCATCTCAGGAGCACAGTTCAGTGGCATTAAGTACATTCACATCGCTGTGCTGCCGCCACCACCATCCATCCCCAGAACTCTTCCCACCCACAGAACTGAAACTCTGTACTCGTTAAACAATAACCCCCCTCTCCCTCAGCCCCTGGCCACCACCATTCTATTTCCTGTCTCTATGAATTTGACTGTGCCAGGTCCCTCTTGTAAGTGGGACCAGACAGTATTTATCCTTTTGTCACTGGCTTGTTTCACATAGCATGTCTTCAAGGTTCTTCCATGCTGTAGCATGTATCCGAATTTCCTTCCTTTATAAGGCTGAATGATATTTCATTGTATGTGTATTCCACATTTTGTCTATCTGCTCATCCACTGATGGACACTTAGGTTATTTCCACCCTTTGGCTATTGTGAATGATGCTGCTGTGTACGTGGTTGTACAAATATCTGTCCAAGTTCTTACTTCAAATTGTTTTGAGTGTATATCCAGAGGTGGAATTGCTAAATTCTTGTTCTCTCTGGAACCTTGTCCATCCTAGTGGATCTCCACTACTGTCTGGCAACTGCTGCCATCAATGTCACCAGTGACTTTCATGTTTTTAAATACAGTGGCCAGTTTACAGTTCTTACCTTAACACGTCAGTAATATTTGGCCCAGAAGCAATCCCTCTCCTCTTCCAGGACTCTCTACCTGGCTTCCTCTGGAACACCACTCTTTCTTGGTTTCATCCTAATTTGCTAGCTGTCCCTTCTCGGTTTTCTTTGTTGGTTTTCCGACCCCTTAATGTTGGAGTGTCTCAGGACTTAGTCCTTAGGCCTCTCCTCTGGTCTGTTTGTACTTACCCTCCAGGAAGTTTTATCTACACTCTTGGCTCTAAAGACCATGTCGACTTTGACGGTGCCCAAATTTACATCTCTAATTCATACCTCCCCCCGACTCTAACTCATACCTCTCCCCTTGAACTTTCAACTCAAGCGCCTAATCAACACGTCTCCTTGGATGTCTAACGAAAATCACTAATTTAACGTGTTCAGAATTCAGCTCTTAATATCTCCCCAACAAATTTTCTCCCTCCAAGGTCTCCTCATGTCAGTATCCTGACTGCCCTTTATAAAATAGCAACAGCTGAACTGTACTCTCTAGTTTCATGAAGCTGCATCATTCATCTATGTATCCTTTTTTACCTTTCAGTGTGTGTGTATATATATATGTATGTTTATTTATTTTCCACTTTCACACGATGTAAACTTCATGAGTAGGGATTTAGTTTTGTTCACTGTCCTGTGCCCACCACCTGGAATGATGCCTGCAATTTAATAAGTACTCAAAAATTTGTTGAATGAGTCATTTCTTTAAAATTTTTTCTATAATTAAAAGCATTGTTAACATTGAAACTAACTGAAAGGAACATATCCAATATCTTGCAATTAAAATATTGCACACCCTTAGGAAGCAGTTCCCCCTCAAAGAATTGAATGATTATAAGTAATACTTATGGATTACTATCACTAATATTTATTATAATTTCAGAGAATTTAGCTATAATCACTTCTGATTTAAGATTGTATTACTAGCTTTATTTCATGACAGTTTTAACTGGGCTCAAAGAGTTAGAACACTAAGTCTAACAAAGCACTAATAATATTAAATGTAAAACCCTGGCTCTGATATAATGTTCTTACTATTACATCATACTATTTTTTTTCTTACTTGATGTAATAGTGGACAATAATTTAAGGAATTTTAGCAAATTGTACCTATCCAGAAATGTTTAGAAAATATAAACAAAATACAAACAAATTCATGAAGCTGGAAGTATGATAGCTGAAAGGAACTTATTGGTAGAATTGAATTGCTGAAGACTACCGTTCGTGATCTGAAAAAGTATTTGCATAAGAGCTCATAGTTAGTATTTCTTGTGAATCCTGTTCAATGTTGAGTGCTGTTTAAAGGCCATGGAATTTGAACAATATGGCATGTGTAGATAAGACTTGACCTGGAAATAGAGGATCTATTTTTCCAGAGAAGGAAAAGCAAGCAAAGGACATCTCAGACAGGATAAATAGCATGTGCCTTGGCTGGAAAGCAGATGAGAGTGATGAAGTGTGTGCAGTGATTACAAAACTGACTTGCCTGAAAACTGTTATAAATAGAAGCCAGGATTGAGGCCCTAACTGTTCTTAGGAATTTCACTAAGATTTTAAGAAAGGGTGTTCTTCAGTTTGAAATGAAAATAACATTCCATGATACTTGTCAAAGCACAAAAAGTAAGTTACTTAAAAATTCAAGCTTGGCGGATGTAATGAGGTTGACTGTGCCATGTGGTGTTGAACTCTGAGATTACCTTGTGTTCTTAGCTTCCATCACTCTGGATGATCGTGCCGACTGGATCATCAGAGTCAACCTTCCTATATCTTATGGTAGGGCTTTCATGAGGGAAAACTGTGTGTGGGAGGTAGGGATTGAGAACTTGCATTTTGGGTTTTTGAATGTCAACTTTACCTGGTTTACCAACTTTACCTTTAGCTATGTGACCTTCAGCAAATGACCTAATTCCTTTGTAGTTCTGTGTTCTCATTTGTAAAATGGGATAACACGGATAACAGTAGTGTAAACCTCAAGGTTATTGCAGATAATTGTTAATGCATATGGAGTATTTAGCATTGTCCCCAGCATGTGGAGAGGAGACAGTAAGTTGTATGCCTTTTTTAAATTGAAGTATAGCTGATTTACAATGTTGTGTTAGGTTCAGATATATAGCACAGTGATTCAGTTACACATACATACATATATATATTCTTTTTCAGATTCTTTTCCATCATAGGTTATTACAAGATATTGAATATAGTTCCCCAATTGTTTGGTTTTTGATGGCATACAATTTTCTTTTGTCCTGCTGCATTCACATATATTGATAAAACCCTTAATTTCTAGATTTCTTCTTTTTAAAAGAAATTCCAGTAGCTTTAGGCTGTTTCTGCATGGCAAAAATGAAATGGATATTTCAAAATTATATATTAATTTGGCAAATGTGGATAATTTAATTAAACTCAAATGGATTCTGAAGGCTTAGCATAACTGATCTAGCCTTGATTAAATTAAAAAAGATATTTGCTAAAACTGCACTTGGATATTCCATCATCGAAGAAGCATCTGCTGTAAACTGGTGTGTCCTTATCTACGTTTTTGGTATGTTCCTGCCAGACATACAAACTGCCTAAAAAGATTTTCCAGTTGGCGGTCATTTTAACCCAATTTAAATCCAAATATGCTTGTATAACAAAATATATAAGCTTACTCTGCAACTCCAGCTTTGATCTTCCAGTACAACATCTGTTTGGCTACTTGGATGAAAAGTCTGTTGTTAGAAAATACTTGACTTAGAATTATATGCTGAAGCTGACTCTCAGTCCTCTCTATTTATGAGAAATTCATTAGAATGTTAGCAGATATATTGCAGAGTACATTTTGAAATCTACACTAATACGACAATACTACCATATGTGTATGTGAACTTATAGCTTTAATTAAGCACTTAAAAATTATGGATGTAAATAACGTTTTATCATCATTTCTTTTTTAAAATTTTTTCCATCTTTTTTTTGGGTGGATAATTAGGTTTATTTATTTATTTATTCTTAGAGGAGGCAGTGGGGTTTGAACCCAGAACCTCATACATACCAGACATGTGCTTTATCACTTGAGCTACATCCTCCCCCCATTATCATCATTTCTTTAAGAGACTATAGCTCTTGAAACAAGAGTTGAAAGGGTAGGAGTAGTTCCCATAGTAGGGATAGTATTTATTTTTCTTCTACTTAAATAAAAAATCCAGTTCTGTGTAGCTAATCACATTTGAAAAATACATTTGGATTTTGATAAATACCAGACCATACAATCATTTAACATATTGGATCTTATTTTATTGAAGACTTTATCAAGAGTTTTTCAATAAATGATTAGTCCTGAAATTAATGGCCACTGATTAATTATTAGTAATGTAGGTCAGGGGTAAGAGCTTGAACTTTGAGTCAGACTCTGGGGTTGAAATCCTGGCTCCATTAGCTGTGTAGCTGGACAGATTCTCAGTCATTATGTTCTTTTATTGGCTCATCTTCGCAATGGAGATACAATGACGATGCTAACCTTGTAGGGCTGTTCAAAGGATTAAATGAGATGACACATTTGAAGCCCTTAGAAGTGAGTGAGTGCTCACTAAATGTTGTGGGTATGGTTGTTATTTGGTTCTACCCTTCCTTTTAGTTTTATTTTAGTTATATAAAATTTCTTACTCTTTCAATCTTTTTCTTAGTATTGCTCTAAACCTTTTTTATTTAATAAACATAGCTACATTATTGTAGGTAACTACATCATTATATGGAGATTTGCAATACCGTTTAAAAAAATTAATGGACTCCTATTGGGTTTTTTTTTTTAGTGCCGTTTGTTTTTTTCTGAGCATTAACTTTTTTTGTATATATATTTTTATTGAAGTATAGTCAGTTTACAATGTGTCAATTTCTGGTGTACAGTATAATGCTTCAGTCATGCATGAACATACATATATTCATTTTCATGTTTTGTTTCACCATAATTTACTACAAGATATTGAATATAGTTCCCTGTGCTATACAGTATGAACTTGTTGTTTATGTATTTTATATATAGTAGTATCTGCAAATCTCAAACTCCCAATTTATCCCTTTCCACCTCCTTCCCACGCCCCTGCCCCCTGGGGTAACCATAATTTTGTTTTCTAATGTCTGTGAGTCTGTTTCTGTTTTGTAAATAAGTTCGTCTTTTTTTTTTCAGATTCCCCATATAAGTGGTATACGGTATTTTTCTTTCTTTTTGTAGCTCATTTCACTTAGAATAACAATCTCCAGGTCCATCCATGTTGCTTCAAATGGCATTATTTCATTATTTTTTATGGCTTATTGAGTTTTTAATGAGTTTAGTCTGCTTTTTTTCATCCTGTACATTCTAATGCCTTGTTACTCTGTGTGAGGTCTGCACCCAGCAGCCACATGAACATTACCTGGGAGCTTGTTAGAATGAAGGGTCTCAGGTCCCATTCCAGAGTTACCAAACCAGAGTCTACCCTGTAACAAAGGCCCAGGAGTTTCATATGCACTGTACAGTTTGAGAAGTTTCACTCAATTACCCATTTCAGTTCGCCACTGACCAGTTGAAGGCGGAAGTCTGGTCTACCTCTCCCCAGTCTGCTCCAGCTGCTGCATGCTTATTATTCCCTGATACCAGCAGAGAGGAAGGAGGAGGGCAAAAGGTGATGGGCACTCTGAGGGGAGAGCTCACACAGGGAACGCGAGCTCCTTGGTACAGACTTTCTGACATCCTCTCTCCAAGCCCTCATGCTCTTATTTGTGCTACTGGTTGTTCTCAAGCTAAGCCAAACTCAAGAAAATGAGGGCTATTAGCCATTTGCACTATTTTTGTCATACTGTGGAGGGTGTTGGAGTAGCTGTACAGCTGCACAGTAATAGTTACACTTGCAGTAAAAATTCCATTTTCTTTTCTTACTTTCACTCTTGCACAGGTATATCACAGGTACATGTATATCACATTTTTCAACTTCTCCACAAATTAAAAAAATTACATTTTAACACCACAAAGAATTTGCAAGATAAATATAAACTTGTCCATACTCATTTTGCCAGTCATAAACACTGCTGACATGCTGATGCAGTTCCATCTAATTTTTTTCTTATACTCTTTTTCCTTTGAGGAGTCTTCTAAGAATGCTTTTAAAACCACCTTTTGAGACTCTCCAGTGAAGTAGCATTCAAAGAAGTCTGTGGGGATTTTTGGAGACATAGTGTATGCATCTTTTCAAACTAACTGTGCCATGTAAATCCATACAGAAAGATAAAAAAAACTTGTAAAAATGAAGTAGTTTTGACCCAGAGATACCGCTGTTTAGTTTTTATCCATTCAAGAAGTTTGATTTGAGGTGGCTGGTTTCTTAAATAATTTATTCAGAAATTATACATACATACATGCAGCTAGCATATATATCTAATAGCTACTTGCAGCTGTTGTATTTATTTTGGTATGAGAGTAATTAGAGTTTACAAGTTAATTTTGGTCAGTTATCCCTTAACTGGGACAAATGGTTGTCCCATTTCCTTGAATTTCTCAATTATGATGACATCTAGGTGTGTAATTGGATAAATAAAGTGAGAGCAATGAGTTTTTTATGCGAATATTTTCTCAAAGTTATATGTCATAAGACAGTATGATTTTTCAATATCTTTTAAGGTATGCCTTGAATGTGGAGAGGATTATTGTTCGGGATGCTTTGCTAAAATTCACCAGAAGGGGGCACTGAAACTTCATAGAACAACTCTTTTGCAGGTATGACTTTAAAATGCTTTACTTGTAGAGTATTTGTAAAATGTTTCAACACAAAGACATTTCAAACATGTTTAATTGTCTAGAATTTGGGATGGTTTACATTAATTTCTAAAATTCTGTTACTTACAGTGTTTACATATAACTTAACATTATTTTACTGAACTAATCGGGATATTATTTTGCTGTTTAAACTGTCTTAATACAGTTCCTGAAACACTTAGCTTGATTAGAGTTTTTACATTATGCATTCTATCTGCGAACCTGACATTTAACAATTAGACAATATTTTCATCTATTGTGGTTTCAAATGAACACATGATTTGTTTAAAGTGTTATTTCTATCTAGTTTATAAATAGAAGTCTCATGTTTTCTTCCCATGTTTATTTGAAAAAGTTAGTCTTTTACTTGTCCTCCCCAATTATCATTTAAATAAGCTCATCTCTTGGGTTTCTATTTTTCCTCCTACATATCAAAAGCTTTTATTTGTCCTCATATAGTCATTGTTTTTTGAAATGCCTAAACTCAAATCCTGTCAGATGGCTCTAAAATTCTAATTCTTAAGCAATAAATATAGCTAAATATAGATAGGACATTATATCTGTTACATTTAATGATGCATTGATTTGTCATAGATTTCATTCATTATACAGACTTTTACTCAGCAAATATTTATTGAATACCTTTTAAAAAGCAAGATCAGTACTAGGCAGTGACCTTACACAGATAAGTAACACTAGGATCCTGCTCTTAAGGACCCAGACATAAAAGTGACAGCTGAGGACCTTGTGTAATGGGCTAAAGATCTTAATATTATCTTGCAGGTTTTATCATTATCTGTATTTAGAAAGATCACTGATAGATTTCAATCTTTACATGTTGCTTCAACATATATGAACATTGGTGGCTCTCAGATACCGATGACCCCATTCACGATAACCACGAAACATAAAACTGACCTTTCTCATATCAATATTTACCAAAGTCAGTTACTTTTGAGTGGCTACTCAAAGTTTTGAGTCTCCCAACATAAATGATGGAGGGGAAACAAACGAAAAAACGCAGTCACCTGCCTCAGGAAGTATCACACCATGAAAATGAATGTATTTAAAAGTGAGTATAATTGTTAATATATAAATAGTATAGAATTTAAAAGCACTCCACTTTAAGGGTAAGGAGTGTAATTACCCCATGAGTTCTCATTAGGATTTTCTATTCAGTGATTTATTTAGCACGTTTTCTGAGTTATCGCTCAGTGAATTTAGGCACTGTGCTAGCTGGTATGGAAGATACAGAGAAGAATGAGACACAGCTCCTTCCCTCAACTTCAGAATTTGACCTTCAAGATTTATCCTAATCTGAATCTCTTTTCTCTCTCCCTTTCTTCCTCTCTCTCTTCCTGTCTTCTGTCCCTTTCCGACTCTCTTTCTCTCTCTCTCTCTCATACACACACACATTCAATTTCAAAAGACAGTCAGACTTTGCTGTAACATGGTTTATTGCTATCCAGAGGCAGGTATGGTATGGGTCAAATCATGCTTACTAGAAACAACACGACATAGCTTACATATTCTAGACATTGAACGTTTTTCTATTGCATGTTAATGTCATTAAAAATGCATATATTCTCTATCTTAACATAGAAGAACGTGATCTTTGTAAATTAGATTCTTATAAAATTCTAAATGTGGAGTTGTTAGGGAGGTGAAAGGATTAATATTTACTGAGTAGAAACTTCATCTCATCCCAGCATCACGTTTTCTAGTTTTGGTCACAGGGGAGGAAAGTTTGGTAAGCCAGAAATAGTAGAGTGGTATTTAAGTTCCTAGTGAATTTCAAATTGTGGAAAATGCATTTATTTCTAAAAGTTAGCATAAATGAATTTCATAATGTGTATACAAATCAAAGAGCATAGCAAATAGCAATGAATCTTGAGAGGTTTCTTCCAAACACAAGGGTTCTTTTATGTATATATTTTAAAGTTAAATAACGATAAATAACTACGTATCTTCTGTATTCACGTTACTCCTCTGGACTGCCTTCTAGTTTGTGGAGACCGAAGTTGCTACTTGGTGCTATCCTGAGGATGGTCCTGGGTCACTCACTGTCTGACAGGGAAATCGAATTGTGAGGCTGACCCTCAGAAAGGAGCAAACAGAGATCATTGTACTGGGAAAGAAACATGCATTGTTGTTACCCTCTTTTTATATAATATGATTTTATGTATTCAGATTGCTAAGTAATGAAATATTTTGAAGAAGGTATCTTTTCTTCAGATAATTCAAGTAAATTTGACCATTTATTTATGCAGCAAAAACTTTTAATTAAAAAAATTTTTTTAAAGGATACCAGAAATGTATAAGCTACTCCTTCCCATTTTAGTAAAGTGTACAGTGAATGGAGTCTCACTAATGTAATGTGCTGGTGACTCCTGCTCCTTATGTTGAGCGTGGCTATTGCAACGGTTCATAAGAGGCCTTGAGTAGCTGATGTGATTTGCATAGCTACACATTCCCCCTGAGAGATTTGCTTTTCAGGTTAGCACTTTATTTTGCTCCTCTGTCATGGCCTTACCCATTCTTTGCCATCACTTCTTGACTTTAATCGATTGTCCCATTCACTCTCTGCCGTCTTCTTACTATTTCCATTTAGCCCTTTGATGTTTTTTCACTCATCTTGCGTTTTCCTCCTTGTTTCTATCATTTTTCCTGTCTTTCCCGGTGCATTAAGGTTCTTGATGCTGTTGTGTCCTGACCCAATGACCATTGCTCAGCAGTGAGTGGATACCTCTTTCTGTTTCGCCTTCGTTGACTGGCCATAGTATTTTTTATTTTTCTACCATTTTGGTAACTATCAAAGTCATTATTTTTTGTTTTTGTTTTTGTTTTTCTTTGTATAACTGTAATATATAATATTGTACATCAATTACATCTCAATTAAAAAAAAACACATTGTGGAAGTCATGAGTTTTTTTAACTGCTGAATTGATACCTTAATCTGAGAAGTTAAAGCAGACATCTTATATTTAAATATTAAACATTACTGTATAAAAAGCAAGCACTCTAGGCTAATCACTGCTGTACTTTATATTATTTAACCTATGGTAGGGTTTCCAGTTATTTTAAAGCACAGTCTAATTTGAGTATGGCAAACCCTTTCAGTCCCCAGTCTACAGACCAGTGAGTTTTTACAAAGTTCACGCTCAGTAGGGACCGTTATCCTGGCATATCTTGTTTCACTTAAAGGATAAATCCCTGAAAAACTGAAGGCAAATTGTGACCAATTCCATGTTGACTAACATAGTTTTAAAGGGTCTTTCTTTTGATTTATGATTGATTTATTATTGGGAATGATTCCAGCACAGTTTTTTTTTTATTTTAACCTTCTCAAACCTCTGTTAAATAGTTAATTATCTGCAAAACAATGTGTAAATGCATGAGGGGAATTATTAAGGATGAAAATTCTACTACATTTAGAACGATTTTCAACACTAAGGGTTGAAACAAAAGATTTTTTTCACTGGGTAAGCCTCACATTGATGAAAAATAAGGTCTTAATATAGTAGGCATTCCTATTTCCTTTTAACGTCAAAAGATCAAACAGAAGAGACAAGGTTAATCAGAGATAATGGAAAATAGGGGGAGAAACAAACAGAAGACATTCTGTTGTGAAGTATGACATGCACAAAGGGAGGCAGGATTAAGTAAATCATTAATAGATTCTGGTAGGTATATTTCCTTAATTGGAATGGAGATTTTCTTAACTGGAAAAGAGACCTTGGGAAAGGGGGGTGGTGGTTAGTAATGAGAGAAGAGATAATTGAGGTAGAATTTCCATGTTTTTTAGTATGAGGCATTTATATACAGCTTCTTTACTTTTTTATCTACAAAGTAAGGTATGCCTATATAAATATGGATTATAAGTGGAAATATTTGTCTGCTTGCTTACAGGAAAATAATTACCAGGCAGAACCTCAGTTATCACCAGAATACTATTTATGCTTTCTGACTTTATGGTAGATTTTGTTTGCTTTCATTTGACAATGACCAATATCAGCTTTTAGGCTCACACTTTTGTTATTCTGTTAATGTTCAGTGTACTACAGTATTTTTAGGCCATAGCTAGCCATTCTGGATAATATCATGGTTACTTTCGTGGTTGCTTGTAATGTACACATTTTAAATGCTATGTATAAACATACAGACACTATGTTGTGCCTCCCAGATCCTCCTCTTTAGAACTGAGACATCCATTTCCCTAGCTGCCTGGCGTGTTGCCTGCAGATGGATCATAGTTGAATCTGTCCCCAGGAACTGCCCTTGTTCAAGGAGAACTGCCACCTCCAAGCCTACACTCCACCCCTGGAGACAGCCCATACTCTGGTCCAATACCTGGTCTATGTTAGGGTATGAATTCCTGGCAACCGCTGTCTCAACTGGGGACAACTGTGATGGCCATCACAGCTCCTCCCTTGGGATTGGCAGCTGCTTCAAATTCATCTGCTTCCCTCACTGGCCTACAAGGTGTTCCTCTCAGAGCACTCCCCAGAAAAAGCCAAGCAGGCGAATCTCAGAATTTGTTTCCTGGCAAACCTGACCTGTGACAACATGTAATTCAGAGTGAAATGATCGATCATTGTTGGCCTAATTTTAGAGTGTACTGCAATTTTTCAAGGTCAATATATAGCAGATCTTTCTTCACTTTCCAGATTCTTAACCTGTTGAGAAACAGATATTAGAGTCAGAAGGTAGAAATAAAAAAATCAGTTGTATTATTGATACAGTCAGAATTGGTGACTGTCACATGTATGTTCAGACAAATTCAGCTTCCTGATACTTCCTGAAATTGAACATTTTTGTCCCCTGCACCCCCAAATTGTAGATATTTCCCTTTGGCAGGGCAGGACCTACCCAGAAAAACTCCTTACTGGATATCTCGGTTGGAATGCGTCCCTCTCTGGGCAGCCCTCAGAGAGAGAACCCTGAAGGAGCAGAGATGAGCA